CCTCCCTCCGGCCTTTCCTTCCTCTCTTTGTCTATACAGCCCCTTCTTAGCTAACTAAGTGCCTTCCTCCATCTTCTGTTATAACAATTTACCTGAGACAGGGTAATCTAAAAAGAAAAGAGGTAAAAAAGAGAGGTTAAAAGAAAAGAGGCTAAATTTTTTGAAGTCCAAGAATATGGTGCCAATATTTACCAGGCCTTTGGTGAAGACCTTGTGCTGTTTCATGCATGGCAGGAAAACCAAGGGCAAGTGCGTACATGCAAAGAGAGGAGCGGACAAAAGGGGGATCTCGTGCTAACAACCCACTCTCATAATAACTAACTCTTTTTTAAAAAAAAATTTATTTATTTTTTTAGTCATACATGACAGTAGAATACATTTTGATTTATAATACATACATGGAATGTACATACATCAATCATATTGTCTATTCTATTCTGCTGCCCTTCCTATCCAATAACTAACTCTTATAGGAACTGCATTAATTCTTCCATGAAGGCAGAGTCCCCATGACCTAAACACCTTTTAAAGGCCATACGTGCCTCACTTCCACTATTTTGGCCAACAAATTTTTATTTTTCATTTTTTGGTACTGGAGATTGAACCCAGGGGTGCTTAACCACTGAGCCACATCCCCAGCCCTTTTTACTTTTTATTTTGAGATGGGGTCTCACTAAGTTCCTTAGGACTTCGTTAAGATGCCAAGGCTGGCTTTGAACTTCCAATCCTCCTGCCTCAGCCTCCCGAGCTGGGATTGCAGGTGTGCGTGACCAATAAATCTTGACATGAATTTTGGTGGGGACAAACCTACATATCCAAACCACTGCACTGAGTTTCAATTCAACATTCCAAGTTTGGGCCAACGTCAGGACATTCCTGAAAGTATTTTGGGGGCCTCCAAATTGGGTTCCCTGGAACTCTGGGCTCAGTTTTGGCATAATTGTGAGGATTCTATCCTTCAGTTAGCAAGAAAGTATTCTCACAAATGAAGTCTGAGAACTTCCCATCTCAGGGACAGCAAGACCAGCACGAGCATTTGTGAGAACAGAGAACTGGAGCCATGATTTCCCCCCCCCCCCATCCCCCCCCCCCCCCCCCCCCCCCCTTTTTTTTTTTTTTTTTGGTACCAGAGATTGAACTCAGGGCACTTGACCACTGAGCCACATCGCCAGCCCTATTTTGTGTTTTATTTAGAGACAGGGTCTCACTGAGTGGCATGGTGCCTCGCTTTTGCTGAAGCTGGCTTTGAAGTCACGATCCTCCTGTCTTAGCCTCCCGAGCTGCTGGGATTACAGGCGTGCGCCACCACACCCAGCCCCCCTTCCCCTTCACATGGCACTCAATATTTCCACATGGCTTCAGTCAAATCCAAAGAGGGAGAGAAACCCTAACACAAGTGAGAGCCCAGCGCTGACCTCAGATATTCCATCTATGGTTCCAGCCACTTGGAGACAGGCATCAATAGGGGGAAGAGGGACAAAATAGCAAAGAAGGATGCTTCCCCATCTCTCTGCCCACCGAGAGATTCTGGGGTGACAGCGGGAGGGGAGGAGTCAGAAAAGTCACATTTATGTGGGAAAACAATGAAAATGAATACAGAAATATCAAATATAAAAGTGAAAAGGAAATCTTTCTAGTGAATTAAAGACAATTTTTACATAATTTCAGAAAACACAATGCTTTGACCTCTAGTGCCGCTGATTTAAAGATGACTTTTCCAATGAAAAGACTCTTCCTTTCTTTACTTTTTGGGCCTTGGGACTGAACATGAAACTTGCCCAGAATCAAAAAAACATAAAGTACTCTCTCCGTACCCCATTTTTCTGCCTATCAGACCTTTCTGGTCTACCTCCACCTCCCCCAATTAACCGTGGCCAGCTGTTTTCCCTTGTACCCTGGCTTTTTTCCACCACTGTGACCCTGAGGTGGGAACACTGAGCCCCTGAACTGGGGATGGAGTGATAGGAAGGGAGTGTTTCAAGGCTGAGCAGGGCTGAAGGCGGAAGGGGAGGGTTTGCTGGGATAAGACACAATCTGGCTTTGGATCCTGGTTCCACTGTTCATTGGCTGAGTGACCCTGGGCAAGCTTTGTCACTTTCTGAGACTGGATTCTCCTTTGTAAATGAGAAAACTGAGCTGGGCCAATGTGAGAACTGCACAAAGAGGTGCAGACTATTTACCCATTAGCAAACCTCCTATTACTAAGAGGAAGAAGTACCCTCAATATTCCACAGCAGAATTGGAGACCTTTGGCTCTTCCTTTCTCCTCCTGGGTATTTATTTTTTTTGCTTTCTGGAGGTTATTTATTTATTTTTAAAGAGGCAGACCTAGAGAGGGACAGAGAGACAAGAGAGCCCATGATAAGGCAGGAGAAAAAAACAGGAAATCTGGTGACGGAGTCAGTGAGAAAAGAATGGAGGGCAGCAGTTACACAGCGGGTTTCAAATTAACTTTTGAGGACCCATGTGATTGTCTCCCCCCCCCCCCCCCCGAAGAATGAGCTGGAATCAGGATGGTGAGGAGAGGCGCAGGTTGGCTCTGAAAATTGCATTCCTCTTTTATAACAGAGAAAACATTCGCCTTCTAAGAGACACTTAACTAGATTGGACATAACTGGACTGTATTCAAATCAATGCAAACATTTACTTTAAAAAGTCATATAAAATAATAAAAAATAACCCGCATTTAGGGTATTGAAAGACACACATTAAATGTTGTTCATGGAAAGTCAGATGACTTTTTTTTTTTTTTGGTACCGGGGATTGAACCGAGGGGCACTCGACCACTGAGCCACATCCCCAGCCCTATTTTGTATTTTATTTAGAGACAGGGTCTCACTGAGTTGCTTAGGGCCTTGCAGTTGCTGAGACTGGCTTTGAATTTGCGATTCTCTTGTCTCAGTCTCCCAAGCCACTGGGATTATAGGCCTGTGCCACTGCACCCGGCATCAGATGACCTTTTAGACCCAATATTAAAAACAAAACAATAAAATCAGTCCTTAGTTTGCTCATTGGAACAACATCATTTAAGTGTTTCTTGTTATACTTGTCTGTTCCTTTGGAATGCTGCTGTGTAATACAGAAGAAATGCGTCCCTCCAAACTGTAACAGAAATTGTGTCAAACCCAGTCAATTCCTTTGAGTGTTTTCATGGCGAGAACAGCAACTGTGGTATGCTAGGGAAGAAGATTGTCCTGAAGGTTTGGTAATGTGGCCGAGCTTTCCTTGACAGCAAACAGGTAAAGGGAAATCAAGGAACAGTATTTTAATGTAAAGTCCACCCTAATCTCAGACCTGTCTCACTTCTCAAACAACAGAGCCAGGACTCGAAAGGGCAAACATCAAGTTCAACACAGGACACCTTGCACTCATTTCTACATAAAGCATTCCAAAGTAAGTCATTAATCGTGGTCACAGAGCACTTCTGGGTTTTAAGCTAGTCCTCAGATATTCAGCTGGTGCCTGGGAGGTTTTATGTGCCTACACCTCCAGGGAGAGGCCAACAGGAATTTCAGGAAGGCAGCTTCTAGCTCAGGGCCACGGTGTCCCTCGTCAAGGCCATCTCTGTGTGGCTCCCAGAATTGCTGAGCTCTCCCTTCTCAGATGACTTTGTTGGAAAATAGAGCAACAGCTGAAGCTCGTGGGCATCTGGGCTCTGGCCAAGACCCCTGAGGGTGCATCCCAAAAGAAGAGCAAGATGGAACCTGAGCAGTTGTCTTATTCTTCCAACTGACATTCTTTGTGTAGTGGGAGAACATTTTATAAAAACAGAATAAAACAGTATCTGATATTTCCCTTTACCTGTGGTCTTGTTTTTCACTTTCTCAGAATCCACCCACCCTTAATAAACCAAAACAGAAGATTCAAATTCAGGCAGGCAGCTATTAATTGGCTCATGGTCAAGTCTCAAGGCAGGGATGTCACACTGCAAAGCAGAGAGAGAAAAATGGGAGTCTACTGTAGGCTTTTGATTGACCAAATAAAAGGCCAGAAATCCTATAAACATAGACACAAAATCCAGGAGCTCGCTGAGGAACGGGAAGAACAGCCCTTCCCTTCCGTCCAGTCCAGCCAACAGCTCCGAGGCTCGCCATTCATCCACACCTTGAACTTGGTGGTCTTTGAGAACAAGTTTGTCCTTCTCTTTCTGACCATCTGGGATGAAGTCCCATTGGGATCTCGCTGTCAGGACATGGTTTTTATGAACAGAACTTATGGTTCTTCCTAAGCCTAATCCACAGTAAAAGGAGCTGCGACATCAATCTCCTTCTGTCATTCATGTCTTCAAGAAGGACTTTAATGTATCTAAGGGACCTCTAGGAATGAAATGGGATTTTTGACCAAGGATTAATATCAGATGGGTCAGTGGTTACTTTGACAGATGTCACTGTAGATGTATGCACTGAGGGCTATTGCGCTGAGCCCCACTTGTCAACCAGTACCACTAGGTAATTCTGCCCCTCCTCCCTTGACTTTTTGACCTCCAAGGAAAATGTGTGTGTGTGTGTGTGTGTGTGTGTTTTCCCTAGCCCATTTTGACAAGATGCAAGTTAAAATTAATTTCATTAAGGAAAGGCCTATTTCCTTTCATACCTGAGTCTATGGAATAGGAATCATATTATACATGATTTTTACCCTTTTTGCTGACTTAGCAAAGAGGCAGATAAACATAAGACCAACGTGGAGTTATCACATGGCATGTGTGTAAGTCACAGAACCATAGCCACATGCTGGCTGGGCCTCAGAGCAGTCTAAGAGTAGCACCCTGTCCCTCACCCACCCATGAAATAGGAAAGGCCCTTCTACAGCTGGTAGCAGAGGGTACCATAAGGAAAGAGACATGCTGGCAGCATGTTGAAATTGAGGTGAGGATCTGGGTGTTTGACGGTGAAGGTATGTTGTCTGTTAGCCTAGAATCTACACTCTGGACAAGCCACAGATCCCACTGGTGCAGGAAGGACCCGACCTGTCTGTGTAGGCCCAGCAGGGTCTGCTTCACTTCAGTCCTGACCACCTGTCAACTTGTGAAAGAGGTCTTCATCGAGCGTTTCATTCTGGTCCTTGGAGCGAGTGGACAAGAAAATGTAGCCACCGATGTACTCATGCACAATCTTGCAATCCGCACTCAGGCAGGTAAATGCAACTTGGAAGTTTTGGTCAAACTCGATCATCACCTGGAAGAGGGAGGCGTGGAGAAACTTAAATTCTGACAAAGCTGGGTGAGAAAGAAGCTGCTTTACTGAGTTGGGCCCTGGAGTGGAGGACCACTGAGGTGGATACTGAAGTGACTGACAGATGCATGTTCCCCTAAAAGAGCACAGAAAACCACCGCTTCCACTTAACACTGACATGTCTTTGCTCTGTGCGCCCCCTTGTGGTGTCAACTGATTTACACCGGGTTAAACATCTCCCAGCACATGCGTATTTTCCCTCTTAGGCATCTGCACATTTAGATATAAGAACATTTAGATATAGAGGGCAGGATGTTTTGCAGACTCTTCAGTGGAAAACAGAAGGCCTGCTTGAATCTCCTATAGCTACTGCCCCCTAGCTCTTCCCAGCTGAAAGTCATAAACTTCAAGCACTAGAAGACTTGGAGACTTCACTGGTTTTTATTCCCACAGACTTCCCACTGGAATCATGCATGGAACTTTCAAAATGGTGATTCCCAGCCCCATTCCGAGAAAGACGGATTTAATTGGTTTTGGGTGGTCTGGAGACTGGTATTCTAACACCCTTCCTCTCCACAAGGAGATCTTAAGTGCATTGAAGATTTTAGAGGTCTCCTTATCTTGGGCTTCCTTCTACACATGCATGCCCAAGTGGTTGCTAGTACTGCTGAGAATAATCTAGAGGTCTTAATAAAAAAAAAATGGGTATTTTATTATTTCTCTATAATGATGATTTTCTGCTGGACAAGTGACAATACTGAAGGAAAGAGGGAGACAGATACTATGTCAGCAACATCATATGGTTCCACATTAGCAGGACACTAAGGTGCCTGTAATTTCATCTAGAATTTTTCCATGATGTAGGCTTGGTCTAAAGGTGGTTCCTGGGATGGGAGTTGATGAGAAGTTATAATTCAGGCAGAGGGTTTGAGGGCCCATTGCGGAGGCGAATATTTTCTCAGTCATTCTGTATCTCTTTTGTTCCTCTAGTGGGTTTTTCCCCTCTGGGTCTTCTATGCCCTCAGAGACGGCGACTAAGTGTATGGATCCAAATCCAGTTAGATCTCCTGGCAACCAGTGACACAAGGCCTTCTTTGGATTTATTTTGCATCGTATTTCTGTCTCATGTAGCTTCTGCTAGGTAATGATTAGCCTAAATCTTATATAACCCTTATGCTGAGTCCATGGAAATTAACCCAACTGCTCTGCAGTTTTAGACCTATCTGTTGGAAGTCTGCACAGACCCTAAACCATCTTGTAGTGTAATTCAAGAACCCGTGGCCTGTACTTGTTGGGAAACTGCCAAGAATTGCATGTGGTTATTTTATTTTATTTTTTTTTGTGGTTCTGGGGATTGAACCCAGGGCCTTGTGCACGCAAGGCAAGCACTCTACCAACTGAGTTATATCCCTAGCCCATGTGTGGTTATTTTAACAGACAATTACCACATACCTGTGATTTCTTGGTACTAAATATAAGAACACCTTTTAAAAATCTGAATAATTTGCGATTCTGAGGGAACACACATTTACACTGAACACCGGAACTTTACTGTACCTGCCGGATTTCCCAGTTGACATTCCACTGTTTTATGTTGGTGAATCTCCATGTCGTAATAGGGATCCCAGTGGTTGCATCAATTCTAATCAACCTATTATAGGAAACTCCCAGAATGTCATCTTTCTTGCTTCCTTTAAATCTGAAAAAAAAAATAATATTAATTAATAAAAGCAACTAGTCATTCAACATACAACTTCTTAAAGACTGGATGATAATTTTTAAATGATTTAAGAAAGGACAATGAGAGATTTGCTCAGGAGGAGGATTTCTTTTTTAAATATTTATTTTTTAGTTTTAGGTGGACACTAAAACTAAATGGTGGAGACCATTTATGTGGTGCTGAGGATCGAACCCAGTGCCTCATGCATGGTAGGCAAGCACTCAACCACTAAGCCACAATCCCAGCCCCAGGAGGATGTTTTTATAGGAAGGAATGGGGTCTAGGAAGATGGAGATAATAAAAGCTATCCTGAAGATAACTAAAAAGTGACACTGATGTCAGAGGAAAGTAAAATAAGAGGGAGTTGAATCATTTTATACAAAGTTAGCACCAAGTATGTGTTCTGGGTACCCTTCTAGGCACTGGAAAGCAAACTACACTGAGAGAATATTCTTGAATAGTGGGGAATGAGAATCATGAGTATATAAAATATACACATGCCAGATAAGATCTTGAAAGAAAATAGAACACAGACAGGGATTACTGGGAATGAGGTTGTTATAATTTATTTATTTTTTTATGTGGTGCTGAGATCGAACCCAGGGCCTTGCACATGTTAGGCGAGCACTCTAGGGCTGAGCCACAACCCCAGCCCATGGTTGTTATAATTTTAAACAGAAGGTCAAGGAAGGTCTTGGCGAGAAGATGACATTTGATTGAACAGTTGATGCCCCTGAGGGAGTGATCCACGTGGATATCTGGGGAAAGAGTTTTCCAGGCAGAGGGCCCAAGCACTTTAAAAAAAAATATTTTTTTCATGCTCAAGAACCTGGCAGGAGGCCAGTGTGGTTGGCACAGCGAAGGAGGGGAGAGGAAATGCGAGGTCAGAGAGCCAAGGTCTTGCAGGCCATTTTCAGGATTTGGTGTGTTTGTTCTGAGTGCAACAGAAGCTGTGAGGTGGTTTGGAGCAGAGACTTGACATAATGTTATGGTTTAGGTATGAGCTGTCCCCCAAAAGCTTACGTGTGAGACAAGGGTAGAGGTGAAATGATTGGGTTAGGAGGGCCTTAAGCTAATCAGTGAATCACATGAATGGATTAACTGAGTGAGAAAGTGTGGGCAGGTAGGGTGTGGCTGCAGGAGGCCGGTCTCTATGGATATGCCTTTGGGGTTTGTATTTTGTACCTGGTGAGCAGGGCTCTGTGTTTCCTGTTCGACCTGTTCTGAGCTGTTTTCTTCTGCCACACCTTTCCACCTCTGCTCTGCCTTGCCTCTGGCCCAGAGCTCTGGAGTTGGACCTTTGAAACTGAGAGCCCCTAAATAAACTTTTCCTCTTCTAAAATTGTTCTTGTCAGGTCTTTTGGTGGCAGTGGTGAAAAACCTGACTAAAATACATAGTCTGACCTAGATTTTATTTATTTGTTTATTTGGCACTGGGGATTGAACTCAGGAGTGCTTAACCATTGAGCCACATCCTTAGCCCCTTTTTAATTTTTTTTTTTTTTTTGCTTAGGGCCTCTATAAATTGCTGAGGCTGGCTTTGAACTCAAGATCCTCCTGCCTCAGCCTCCTAAGCTGCTGGTCAAGTGTAAGCTTGACACAGATTTTAAAAGGATCAGTAGGGATGCTGAGTTGAGAACTTGAGGGACAAGGGTAGGTAGGGAGACCAGGTAGGATCACTCTGGACCCGGTCCCCAGTGACACAACAGTGTGTTTGTTTTAAAAGCCGGGCCAGGGGGATTTGCAGTAGACAGGATGTCAGTGCAAAAGAGACAGCTGAGTCAGAATGACTCCAAGGGACCTGGCCTGTGCCTCTCTAGGGAAAGTCTGCCATAGGCTGAAATGCAGAGTAATGCAAAGGAGGGGGTAGGTTTTAGAGGGAAAGATCAGGAGTTCGGGACATGGTAAGATGAGGAAAAAAAAAATCCTAGTTCAATAAAGCCACTTTCCACACTCCCCCCCCCACTTTTTTTTTGAGACAGGGTCTCACTATGTTGCCTATTTTGGCTTTGAACTTGCAATCCTTCTTCCTTAGCTTCCTGAGTAACTGGAATGACACCTGCATGTCACCACATTCAGCTTGTCACATCTTTTTTTTTTTTTTTTTTTTTTATAAAAATGTCTTCATGTTGCTCTTAATGTTTACTTTTCTAGAATCATTCCTACACCTTCTGTTGTTTACTCTGCTACCTTAATACTTAATATCACGATAACCCCTCCCCCCCTTGTTCTTTGTGGTGTGTGTGAGAATCCAGGAGTACTCTACCACTGAGCTACATCCATCCACAGACCTTTTTACTTTTTATCTTGAGACAACTTGCTAAGTTGCTGAGGCTGGCCTTGCACTTATGATCCTCCTACCTCAGCCTCCTAAACTGCTAGGATTACAGATGCATGCCACCCTGCTTGACCCACTTCTTGCTTCACCTGCTTCTTTCTTCCTTGAGTTGCTCTACAGCCTCCAGGGAGTTGTGAAGCACTGGTCCAGGTTTCTTGGCATGGGGAGATTCCTACAACCACCTGCCACCCTACACCGGGAGGTCTGCTCTAGTCCTTGCAGATCTGGGAAAAGGCAGATCTTTACTCAGCCTGGGACTGCTGCCTCAAAGCCTCACCTCCATAAACAGATGCTGAAGGTGACATTACAGGTGGAGGGAAGTGAAGGGGGAAATAGTGTAAAGGAGCGATGGTCATTGGAAGATTGTTCAGGACCCCTCTGCACTTCACAATTTATCCGGCACATGATCTGTGCTGTTTCACGGGATTCTCTCAACAATGCATGTTCAGGATGTCCACTGAGAAAGTGCATCAATGAAATGCCCGAGGTCCCAGAGCTAGCAGGGGCAAAGGTGGGACTGGAAGTTGGATCTGTTTTTCTCAAGTGTCCATGTTCTCTCCACTATGTGGGGCTGACTCTTAGAATTATAGGTGAGGGGCCAGGAGCAGTAGTGCACGCCTGTGATCCCAATGATTCAGGAGGCTGAGGCAGGAGGATTGAAAGTCAAGGCCAGTCTCAGCAACTTAGCAAGTTCCTAAGCAACTTATTGAGACCCTGTCTCAAAATAAAAAATGAAGAGGGCAGGAGATGTAGCTCAATAATAGAGCACCCCAGGGTTCAATCCCCAATGAAGAAAAATAAAATAGAATTATAGATGAGTTGTGTGTGTGTGTGTGTGTGTGTGTATGTGTGTATTAACACAAGTGCATGCATATACATTGGTGTCCTGTACGACTTTGTCCTTCCTTGCTCTTTTGCTGAGGTAAATAAAGCAGAAAGAGTTGCTTGTTTGGGACAAATATCAGGGATAGAAGTTAAAGGAAGAGTTTCAGGGAATAAAAACATTTGAGTAAACTCCCCTGCTAGCAGATATGGGAGAAATAGGGTCTTTGGAGAGAGCCAAGAAAACAATAAAAACATTTTCATATAAGTCAATGCTTTAAAAATATAAACCAATCTTAAAATTCCCAAGTTATAAAATGAGAAAGTGACACTATCCTGCAGGATTAAGTGCAAATTTTGCTTAAGCACCAGTCTTCCTTACTGAATAAAAAAAATCAAATTTGATTTGCAAGCATGCTTGTGGATGCATTTTGGGAAATAATTTATTATATGGTGAGGCAGAACCATCATGCTCGGTGGAGATTACCAATGAGGACACTGGATTCTATGCCAAGGCCTGCCCCTGTCTAGAAAATAAACTTGGACAAGTTCCTTAAGCTTTTTTTTCTATATCCCAGTGTTCTCATTGGTCAGATACACGAGGGCAATGGATGGACCACCTACAGGACTTCAGATGCAGAAACAAGGTTGCTACTTGATAAGGCTGGGTGAACCTAAGACACAGGATTTTTAGGGGCCTCTGTATGGAAACTGGAAAACTATGTAAAGCCACACCATGAGACACACATGAGATACACAGTAAGGAAGAGGAGACGGACAAGAAAGGAATCCCAGATTTCATAAAATCAATAGCTGTCTCTCTCCTTCTGGTTTTTCAAAGGTAGTTATTCTCCTAAGAGAGGGAACATCTTTTTTTTAATGTTTTAACATTGCCTTTTCCACATTTTGCTGAGTTTGGGTGGTGGGTGGTTCTGGTTCATGGACGATTTTTATGAGCATTTGAAAACATGTGGGCCATCTGTAAAAGGGTAACATTCTAAAATAAGAGTTCTGCATTCTCAGTGCAAATACACTGGGCTTCCAGAACACCACCTAACACTGGAGGGAAAGGGAGAGAGGCACGTGAACGCTGTGATCACCTGACAAGGTAGTAGGTGAGGCCGAACTCAGGTAGGGACTGCCATGCCTGGATGAACTGCAGCTTGGCTTCAACCAGGGGCATCGTGGCCACATTCTGATGGGCTTCCATGATCCGCGCAGCCAGCTGTGAAGAAAGAGGAGACATCAAGCTTCTGCTGCATTCCCATCTGCCTGTCATCATCCCCACCAGATTCCCAGTGACAACAATAAATGCCAGGCCCAACTGCAGATCCACAGAGACTGTTCAGTCTCATTCACTCACACACACACTTTCTCTCTCTTTCTCCTTCTTTTTCTTAGAAAATATAAAAATCACTAGGGAGAAGGAGGACTAAGATCAACCAACCAATAAGCTTCTAATTTTCATGCAGATGGAGAGTTTTACATCCCTTTTCTGGGGTCTCCAGTGTGTCCATGGACAATAAGCTCATCTGTCCAATTTTTTAATTATTTCATTTCTAGTGCATTATAGTTACACATAGTAGTGGGGTTCATTTTGACATCTTCATAAACGCATGCAACATAGTTTTCTCCATTTTCGATCCCCAATACTATCCTCTTCTGTTCCCTCCTCCCTCCCCTTGAGCCCTTTCCTCTACTTTACTGGCCTTACTTCTATTTGTTTGTTTATTTTTTAATTGATGCACTATAGTTATATGTAAAATTGGAATGCACTGTGATATATTCATACATGCACGCAGCATAATTTGGTCAACTTTATTTCCCCTTTCTCTCCTCTCATCTGCCCAACTTTTAATTTACTCTTATTGGAAACATAATTTTAATTTTCAATTTGTAGGAACTAAGTCATTTTATTGCTAATTAAGTTCAATCTGGAACTATCAACCTATTAATAAAATTAACAGTAATTTAGCTGAATGCGGTAGTGTACACCTGTGTAGTTCCAGCAGCTTAGGGCTGAGGCATGAGGATCACGAGTTCAAAGCCAGCCTCAGCAACTTAGTAAGGTCCTAAGAAACTCAGAGAGACCCTGTCTTTAAAATGTATATTTAAAAAAGGACTGGGGATGTGGCTCAGTGTTTAAGTGCCTCTGGCTTCAATCCCTGGTACCAAAAAAAAAAAAAAAAAAAAAAAAGTAACAGTAATTTCATAGCAGCTTCTAACTAATACCCAGTACATAGTCAAATTTCCCCATCAACCTATTTTTTCCTGATAATGACCCTAATCAGAATTCTTTTTATTTCAGAACATAAAGAATTTACGCAAATGAATGTCTCGTCAAGATGAGCAGTACCTGCTTAGATTTGTATTTTTTTGCACACCGAGGTGACACAAAACATTCTGGGTTCATGTCCATGCTTTCGAGACTGGAAGTCAACTGAATTGAGGATTTCCGGTTTTTCATCCTCAGAAACGAAAGGATGTTGAGGACCTCTGGCTGGTACGAGCTGTCTGCCATGGTTTTGCCCTTTGATGCCAAGATGCAGGCAGCCATCCATTGGGCATATTGATTCTCCTGCAATAAAGCCAGAGAGCTGAGAAGCAAGTTCAAGTCCAGTCCAAAGTCAACCTTATTATAAACACAGAACTTCGGCTCCATAACCCCAAACCAATAGTCTCCGCACCAGGAGAGATGTGAATTGGCACTTTCTGAGTGGCTGTTAACCATCTAAAGTAACACCCAACAGTAGCTGTGTTGACTGTCTAGATGCTAAGGGGCTAGAGGACAGGAACTTGAACTTCAATCCATTCTGTACAGGGACTTGCATTTAAAGATGATCCAAGGAGTGCCCTGGGGCACAGGCAGGTCAAAGTCCAAACTACAGAGAACCTTGTTATTTTCTTTATTTTTCTCCTCCTCCTTCTCCTCCTCCTCCTCCTCCTCATCCACCTCCACCTCCTCCTTGTCCACCTCCTCCTCCTCCTCCTCCACCCCCCCCATCCTCCTCCTTTTTAAAAAATATTTTATTAGTTGTTGGTAGACCTTTATTTATTTTTATGTGGTGCTGAGAATTGAACCCAGTGTCTCCCATGTGCTAGGCAAATGCTCTACCACTGAGCCCCAGCCCCAGTCCCATATTGCTATTTTCATATTATGTCTCATCTCTATGAAAAAAGAAAACAATGAAAAAAAATCATTCCCTGATTCCCTGCATTATTTGTCCTTGGCCTAACCTTAGTAAAGATTTTAATCACAAAATAGCAATCAGGGCCATGGATGGGATCTGAATCAGTTAGTGGTAGTTTTTCTAATGTCCCTTAATGTCTGAGCTCATTTTTCACTTTGAGAGAGAACAGGTGTGGTCCCCAGCAGCTGAAAGGTATAGTTAAATAGAATTCTTCAGAGCAATAGTAGGTGTGGTATATCTGAGATACTGGCCTCAAGTTCCAACCTCCTGGTATCCATACCCTTTGCCATCTAACTGCATAGTGCATCCCACCTGAAACAGAATATATTTCCATCCCTTGACCTCCACCCACACTCATGTGATTTGCTTTGGTTGACAGAATGTGGGTGGGAGTTACAGTAAGTCAATTTCAAGTCCAAGCTTTAGGAGGCCACCCATGTTGTCAGGTGTCCTCTTGCACTTCTCCCATCACTATGAGAAGAGCTTCCTTCAGGCAGCCTGGGACTCAGAATAAAAAAAATACACATATATCAGCCCAACCCCTGGTAAGGAGATAAGCCTAGCTTGTGGCTTAAAACACATCTGACCAACTGATACCAGCTTAGAAGATCAGATTCCTAGCCAACTTGCAGATCTTCCAGAAACAAATGTTTATTTTTGAATGTCACTGGGATTTTGTTATGATGTGATTTTCGTTACAAAACAATAGCTGACTGACTCAATTGTGCTCTAATTTGAGAAAAACATCTGATAGATGTTCCCTGATCTAGTATAATTCAACTAAGAATTTTCCACTTTAGGATGGTGTGAAAGCATACCATACAACAATCTGTTTTTCACTTTTAGCACAATAAAATATATATGATATTTAGCTTTTTACTATAACATAGGCTTTGTGCTTGATGATATTGCCAACTATAGGCTAATCTAAGGGTTCTGAACACATTTAAGGTAGGCTAAGCTAGAATATTTGTAGATTAGGTATAATTAAATGCATTTTCAACTTAATAATCTTTTCAATTTAGGATAAGTCAAGAAACATGTTTTGTTCACAGGCTTAACAAAGGCAAAGTGAGGTAAGAGTTTTGTAGCTTTACTTACGTGGTCACATCTCAAATACACTTCGTTCATACCATCAGCAACTGGGATTAGTAGCTTGATTCCAAATTTTCTGCCTGCTACATTCACGTCTGGCGCAACTTCACAGCCTGAATACAAAAGACAGGGACAAAACTCAGTTGTGAGGAATCTGTTGCATCAATACCAGGCATGGCATCTGAAACAAAGGCTTTCAATGTGAGCCCCTCACATCTGGTTCTCTTCTGAACATGGAGGAGCAAGTGATGCCATTAATTAGAGGAGAACGAAATAAAACTTATAAAGAATTAGCATGGATAAAGAAAAATGATTTTCTTAAATTAAAGAAAGCTGAATTCATTCTTTTTTTTCTGGATGATGATGGTTATCCTAACTCTTAGGAACAATTATGGATATGGACTTGAAAAGAAATCAAAGCAGAGGTAATTCTCTGATTGCTACCATGATGAGAGGTAAGTGCACTGGTTAATTAAATATTTCAATTAATATATGGTTTCAGAGATTAGAATGGGCACTGACAGACATTGAATCATACATGACTGTTCTTGGCTTTAAAAAATCTATTTATTTATTTTTGGTTCTGGCCACTGAACCCAGGGGTGCTTAACCACTGAGTTCCATCCACAGTTCTTTTTATTTTTTTAAAATTGGAAACAAGGTCTCCATAAGTTGTCAACACTGCCTCAAACCTGCCATCCTCCTGCCTCAGCCTCCTGAGTTGCTGGAATTATAGGCATGTGCCATACACCCAGCATTGACGTGGGACTGGGGCTTGAACCTAATGCTTTCTCCATTTTAAGCAGATGAACAACCACTGAGCCCCAGCCCCAGCCCAGACTGTTCTTAAACTTAGAAAGCTTTTCAGGATCTTACAGTGTCTCATGGATACCAACTGTCACACTTCACAGACTCTGGACACAGTGGGAAAGAAGGGGCAGCAGAATATGAATATCCATGTTGACTAGACCACACCCAATGTTCACGTTCCATCAGGAAGAGGAGCTGCCACATGGAAAATGGTGACACCAGAGGTCCCTCCAGAAGTAAACCGTGAGCATTCTGTGGGAATCTTGCCTTCCATCTGCAAGCCACCGTGAGTGAAGGGATGCTCTTACCTCTAAGATTGAGTTTTTCTATGGGTTCTCCTTGTTCAAGTTCCGCATTTTTAAAGTAGGTTATAGATGTGTCTTTAAAGACGAACCAATATTGTTTGAAAGCTTTTAATAATAGCTTCTTTGGCCTGCAAGTTAAAGTACAGTCAACATTTCAGTCACTATCTGGAGCTGCAAAACACAGTGCAGGTGCTTCCAAGACCCCGTGGGCAACATATTCTTTCTTTTTTTTTTTTTAAATAACAATTTGCAAATTGCGCTCTCTCTCTCTCTCTCAATATGTGCTCTACCACTGAGCTGCATGCCCAGCTCACTAACTCATTTCTTTTTTTTTAATTGTTGATAGATCTTTATTTTTATTTATTTATATGTGGTGCTGAGAATCAAACCCAGTGCCTCACACATGCCAGGCAAGTGTGCTACCGCTGAACTACAGCTCCAGCCCCTCACTAACTCATTTCTAAAAGCTAGTAACGGGGTGTGGCTTTGCTAGGCACAAGTTAACACAAAGGCTCAGGAGTTAGACCTCTTGGATCCATATTGTGGCTCTGCTACAGTCTTATCTTGTATTCCTGAGAAAGATATCCCTCCTGCCTGGGCCACATGTACTGCCCCTCTGTGATGAGGGCAATTTCAAATTCACACAGCTTTATGAGGACAGAAAGAAGCGGTCTATGTGAAGTGCTTATCTCAGTGCCTGAGATAAGGCACCAGGGAAATACTTGACAAATCACTTTGATGTAATTTGTCCCATGTGACTCTGGCAACGTTTGAATTCACTGCATACTTCCTGGAGCTGAAGAGAATGGTTGATACCATCAGTACAAGCCTCATGTTAACAGACATAACAAAAGTAAGCCACTTTTTCTGCACAGTTTTCTCCTAACCCTTAAGAGAAACAAACAGAAAATGCCCAGTAAAGCATGGAGATCATCAAAGTCTAGAGCTCATTTCTGTATAGAAAGTAATATGGAGATTCCTTGGCAAACTGGGAATGGAACTACCATTTGACTCAGCTATCCCACACTTTGGTCTATACCCAAAAGGACTTAAACACAGCATACTACAGGGACACAGCTACATCAATATTTATAGCAGCACAATTCACAATAGCTAAACTGTGGAGCCAGCCTAGATGCCCTTCAGTGGATGAATGGATAAAGATAATGTGGTATATATATACACACAATGGAATATTACTCAGCAATAAAAGAGAATAAAATCATGGCATTTTCAGGTAAATGGATGGAGTTGGAGAAAATAATGCTAAGTGAAGTTAGCCAATCCCAAAAAACCAAATGCTGAATGTTATCTCTGATATAAGGAGGCTGATTCACAATGAGGTTGGTGGGGGAAGCATGGGAGGATTAGACGAACTCTAGATAGAGCAAAGGGGAGGGCGGATAAGGGAGGGGGCATGGGGGTAGGAAAGATGTGGAATGAGATGGACATCATTACCCTAAGTACATGTATGAAGACACGAATGGTGTGATTCTACTTTATGTACAACCAGAGATATATAAAATTGTGCTCTGTGTAATATGAATTGTAGTGCATTCTGCTGTCATCCATAATAAATTAGAATAGAACATATTTTGGAGAAAGATGTTCTATAGTGGCATCTGTTAGGGACAGAAAAGTTTGTGGCTTGGGCTAGACAAGGTCAGGATTGCCAACAGCAGGCCTGATGGTTGTGTTATTCAAAATAGTTAATATGAGTGAGACCTGAAGGTAGAAAAGAGTGTATAGATAGGCAAAGAAAAGAAAGTAAGAGTTATATCTGGTTCAGCAGAACAATCTTGGCCTTTGGGATTAGACCAGGTATCTCACGCTGGGAGTAGACTTCTGTATTCAAAAATGGGAGCAGGAGGCTGGGTCTGGTGGTGCCTGCCTGTAATTCCAGCAACTCAGGAGGCTGAAGCAGGAGGATTGCAAGTTTGAGGCTAGCCTCAGTAACTTACTGAGGCCCTGTCTGAAAATAAAAAAATAAAAAAGGACTAGGAATATAGCTCAGTGATAAAGTGACCCTGGGTTCAGTTCTTGGTATTGAGAGAGAGAGAGAGAGAGAGAGAGAGAAAGAAAGAGCCTGATGTTAATGTTCTGCAGAATTTTGGAAAAGTCTTTGCTTTTTTTTTTTTTTTGGTAGTACCGGGGATTGAATCCAGGGGTGTTCAACCACTGAGCTACATTGCAGTCCTTTTTATTTTTTATTTTGAGACAGGGTCTTGCTAAGTTGCAGAGGCTGGCTTCAAATTTGGGATCTTCCAGCCTCAACCACCCAAATTGCTGGTATTATAGGCATGTCTACCATGCTTAGCAGGTCGAGTCTTTTAATATGTCAATACTAGTCTTCCCTTAGTAAATGTGTTAGCCTTAGCACAAAGTTTAGGGAGAATATGTTCATCTTAAAACAAACAAACAAACAAACAAACAAAAACCTCAATGTACTAAAGGGGAATAGTGTGTAAAAAATATGAAACAAATGTGAAGATCATTCTATAGAATTAACACACCCAGGACTAAGAAAAACTACTGTATTAAAACAGTATTTATCATGCTGTGAGATGTAGCTAATATAATTCTGCAGAAAAAAACTCAAAAGACTATTTGTTTAATATTCAGATTCTCAGTGCCTGATGGTATTTTCAAACTAAAATCTAAAAACACAGCTTATAACTAAAAGATGAAGATCCCAAAGTCTTAGTTTAATCCTAAGTATCTAATTATTTCTCTTTAGAATTAAGTACATCAGGGCATGGTGGTACGGGCCTGGGAGGCTGAGGAAGAAGGATCCTAAGTTCAAGGCCAGATTCAGCAACTTAATGAGACTTGTCTCAAAAATAAGGGCTGGGGATATAGCTCAGTGGTATAGCATACTTCCTGGAACTCTGGAGGCCCAGGTTCAATCCCCAGAACCCAGAAAAACAACAAATCAAGAATGAAATCCTTCTTTTCCATTTTAACTGATCTTTGAGAGTATCAAAAGATCTTAAACTTCTTTGACTATCTCCATGGTCATTATTTTTATTAAAAATATTTTTTTAGTTGTTGATGGACTTTTATTTATTTATTTATATGTGCTGCTTATAATTGAAGCCAGTGCCTCACACGTGTGAGGCAAGTACTCTACCACTGAGCCACAACCCCAGCCCACGGTTCTCATTTTTATTGGGAGCTTATTTTTAATTTTTAGAAAATATTTTGGCCCTGGGGATTAAATCCAGGGGTACTCTACCACTGAGCTACATCCCTAGTGCTTCCTTTAAAAAAATACTTTTGTTTTATTATTTTTAAAATATTTATTTAGTTGTAAATGAACACACAGTATCTTTATGTATTTTTATGTGGTGCTGAGGATTGAACCCAGTGCCTCACACATGCGAGGCAAGTACTTTACCACGGAGTTACAGCCTCAGCCCTTAACTTTTATTTTAGTATTATTATTTTTTTTGGTACTGGGGATTGAACTCAGGGGCACTTCACCACCGACCGAGCCACATTCCCAGCCCTATTTTGTATTTTATTTAGAGATAGGGTCTCGCTGAGTTGCTGCCTTGCTTTTTGCTGAGGCTGGCTTTGAACTTGTGATCCTTCTACCTCAGCCTCCTGAGCCATAGAAATTATAGGCATGTGCCACTGTGCCCAGCCCCCCAGTTCTTTCTTTCTTTCTTTTTTTAAAAAAATTAGTTTGAGGCAGGTTCTCAATAAGTTACCAAGGCTGGCTTTGAACTTTCAATCCTCTTGCCTCAGCCTCCAGAGTTGCTGGGATAACAGGTATGTGCCACTGCGTCCAGCAGGACCTCATTTTTTAGGTAATTAATGTTTTCTACAGAACCCTGTGCATGCCTGGTTGTGGATATTTCCCTCTGAATATTTTTACAGCTGCATTTGCTAAGGCTTCCTAGATTTTGTAGTCCCAGACCAGTTTCTATTTAATTTTCCCTTATTGTATAAGACATTTCAATTCCTACCTACATCTGTGTGTGTCACAAGCCTTGGCTCTGATTGCTCAAGATAGACTTTTTATTTCCCCCACAGAACTCAGTGCAAGGATGAACTTCCTTCCTGCTTTCTTGGGCTGATGGTAATTTTTCTATTCCCCATTAAATAGAGAAAACAGCCACTGCAAGTCTGCACTATTAGGCAGGTGCTTCACCAGGCTTCCTGCTTCATGTAGGCCATAACATTTATTTCCTATCCCTACATGGAAATAAAGTATCAGCCCCAAGCCAGAAGAACCTCTATCCATGCCCTTAAATCCTCCTGTGTGGCTGAGGCTTCACTTGGAGAACCAGGTCCCCTCCTGATTTTCTGAAAACTGACACTTCTCAGTTTCTTTATGATCCATATTGTATTTACGATTCTTTTATTTCCTCCAGCATTTCTATGTCATTATAGCAGGATTGGGGATTGCATTAGACCTGATGTCATGTTGTTGGAAACCGAAGCCCACATGTTGATGGGTTCTGTAGATTTTATTTTGAAAAAAGAAAGAGCTTTATTGCAAATGAAAATAAATAAATAAATAAATAAAAGGACTAGTCCAATACTTTCTTTGTGAAAAGGAAAGAAGCCCAGGGAGATGAAGGACCTGCTAGAGTTCACATTCTTCCTAGGAATAGAGCTATTCTCCCAATCCCCTCCCCTCCCCTTATCTCCCACTCCCCTTCTGCTTTTTTTCTTCATGTCTTCCTCCCATGAATTGTATTATACATTACATCCGGGGTCTTGAGACCTCTGGTAGATAAAGTGCCCATGGGTCAGATACAATGGCAATTTTGTGAATTGAGTGTAACTGTCACACCAAACGCTATTCGGGTAGCATAGGTGAAGCAGATGTGAGGACTTAACTCCAACCTATCATCTCCTCCACTGAAACATCTAGAACACCTTCAGGAAGGGTCCTGTCATCATTTGGTTATGAAGAGCTGGGTTTATTCTACAAAGAGAGTATGGCCTTTCAGTTTAATTGTAGAACAATTATGAATATTATATCAAGGTATATTTGTGGCTTCAAATAATTATTTTTTTCTTTGCCACTCTTGACTATACCAATAAGTCAGTTATGGTTACAACTATTTATATGACAGATAATAAATGAATGACCTTATTGTTTGAGGCCACACCTATAATTACATTAAAAAAACAAAAACCAAAAAACCTTAACAAACAAACTGTGGAAATCCAGTGGCAAATACTGAGGGCGGGGGGGGGGGGGGAACGCCTGTCAATCAGCGGGATCTCCTAACTAACGCCTGTCAATCAACAGAACCCCTGGCCAATCCTGGAGTTCAGCCAGCTCCCCTGACCAACTCCAGTGGGACAAGGGACCCTAAAAATCCCCTTTCCTGTCCCAACCCCTTCCTGTCGTGAGCCCCATAAAATCCCAGTCCGGTCAAGCTCCCACGGGGTTTCTCCTCAGACCCTTCTCCTGTCCACCACGTCTGTCTGATCGAGTTCCGCCTGGGAGTGATATCCCCAATAAAGCCTCATTCAGTGGCCTTTTAAAATCCGCCTCCTTTGATTGCCGCCTGCCTTTTCCTGATCTTACAGTTACCTTTGGACTCTTGTTTCTCGTTTATGCCTGGTTCATGGTTCTTCTTTCCAAGTTTTTGTTTGCATCATGTATTATCGAAAGTAACTTGCATGTCTTTTAAAGCCAGCTGCCCCCAGTGAAGTGTTGGTTTGTTAAGAAAAGTCAACAAACCATTGAGTGACTTAAGTAACTGATAGACCTTCAAAAGGACTTATTTCTTTCATCCTAACAAGCCTAGGTATCCATAAAGGTGGCGGTTTTTCTTTCCATGAAAACAAAACAAACAAAACAAAACAAAATGTTAACCTTCTCTGCCTTTTTTTTTACCCCCCTGGTACTGGGCATTGAAGATAGGGGCATTCCACCACTGAGCCACCACCCAGGCTTTTTTAAAATTTAATTTTGAGACAGTCTCACTAAGTGGTCCAGGCTGGTCTTGAACTCCTGATCCTCCTGCCTCAGTCTCCTGAGTATGTGGGATTACAGGCACCCACCACTATGCAGGACTCCTCTGCCTTTTTAACAGTTTCAGATCAACTACCATTTTCACAAGGGAGAGGAGATAAACAAAGTTAACCACTCTCTCTATAAGGGCAGGATCAAAGTTCTGCCAAAGTACTGTGTCCTGAGCCTACCGGGTGGAACCTGCTAGAAATGCTAACCTGGTATGTATGTTCATTATTACTGATGCTGGTGATGTTTACACCACTGTTTAGTGAGTAAGTACTAAAAGCCAGGTAACCGTGTTAAAATGCTTCATTTACATGATTTTATTGAATCCTCCCAAAGAATAACAGGAGTTATATTCCCATCTTATAGCTCAGGAAACTGAGACTCAGAGGCATGAAAATACTCCAGGTCACCTGGCTAGTGCATGTGGTGGAACTCGGTTATCATCCACTGCCTATGTGACACCAAAGCCCATGATCTTACCTTTGAATGATGAACTTGGCTAACAGATGTGCAATTTACACTTCTGAACTCTACCTGCAAGGCTTTGTTATGGGGAATTCCTTTTCTCCTTAAAAACTACTTACCTAAACAATTTGAGATTGTCTGCAAGCTTGGGGATGTCAGTAATGTCCTCCTAGGGAAAATAGATCACATTTCACAAGCAGGAATTCCATAAGTGGTTCTGATCCTCTACATCTGCACTGTCCAAAATAGTAGCCCTTGCCACAGATAGATTTTTAAATTTGAATGAATTTAAATGAAACAAAATGATAGCCAGGTGCAGTGGTGCACACCTGTAACCCCAGTGGCTTGGGAGGCCAAAGCAGGAGGATCGCAAGTTCAAAGCCAGCCTCAGCAACTTATTGAGGCTCTAAGCAACTTATCAAGACTCTAATAAAATATAAAACGGGCTGAGGATGTGGCTCAGGGGTTAAAAGCCCCTAGGTTCAATGCCTGGTGCCAAAAAATAAAAATAAAATAAAATGATAAAGCTCTGTCCTTTTAGTCACAGTAGCCAAATTTCCAGTAGTTACCTTTAAAGAGAACACAGAGTGAATGAATGTGTAAGAATATAGTTCACTCACTCTTATTCATTCTTCCTTATTTAGATCCAATTACAATGGACCCACCTTTCTGATTAAATGTGATTAAACGAAAATTACTCCCATGATTAAAGAAGTTAAACAAAAGGTGCCACTCAATGAATGAATCAAACTGGGGGTGGAGGGTAGAGATTATAATTATAAAGCTGCCATTCAGCCACATTTCAGAGTTAAAAAGCAAGGGGTCATACGTGAGTTTTATTTCTTTATGTTTTCCTGGAAAGTTTTTGTTTTGTTTATTTCCTGCAATCGAAAAGGTTCAGGAATGTTTGAAAATGCCCCAGTGAAAGGTCCTAATTTCTGTCAATCTTGCCCAGTGGAAATATATAACCAAGTAAACAGATAAGAAGACTAGATCTGCAAATCATTTCCTCTATTCTCACAGCTGCCCCAAGCCACAGACAGGGTGGTTCTTTCTAGACTTAAGAGATCAATTCCATGTTCCATGTTAGTGAAGTGGAATTCTCAGCAGCCTTCTCCTCACACCATGCCAACTTACACCCGGGAAGGAAGACAATACAAAAAGTATTGTCATTAGTTGTGATGAAAATATCTTATAGTCCCTTGTAGAACTAACTCGAGAAAAGCTAGTCAGTTCTTGCTAAGTTTAAGTTTGTCCCATGAAGAGCATATTCCCCCCCCCACTTTTTTCAAAATAAGATAAAATATTCTCTTCTTTCTAATTTTAAAGCATCCATCCCCACCTGTCAGTCAGTAGGAGCAAAACCACAATGCTGGGCTAACAGAAGAAAGTTCATACCAAAGTGCTGTCTGCTTTTCCACCTTCTAGGGTCACTTCCAAATTAGAAAGGGCAGCTTCCACTTCGTCAACCTCAGACTCATTTGTAAAATCCTGTACCTCAGCCGACATCGACAATTTGCTGATGTGATACTAAAACGAAAATAGAGGTTTTAGAAACGTTATAAACGTGAAAGGACCATTAGTCATTTCTTCTTTCAACCAATTCCCCTGGAATGCTGAACATCTCTTATAAGGAAGTCTCCTGCCTATGCAGGGAAAATGACATTTTAATTGGACTCATTCTGAGACTTATAGTTAGTCCTGTTCAAACTTGATTCTTTCCCATCACTGATGGGACTGGTGGTAGAAGAGAGATCAGATTTGCAAGACGAATGCTTTACATAGGATGTGCGTATATGTGGACTATGAGGAACATCTTAAATTTAAATTGACTCTCCTCATTTTTATTTCTTTCACCAAAGAAACAAACAATGCTAGGCATGGTGGTGCACGCCTGTAATCCCAGTGACTCCGGAGGCTGAGGCCAGCCTCTGCAACTTAGTGAGGCCCTGTTTCAAAGTAAAAAATAAAAAAGGCTGGGCACATTTCTCTGTGGTAAAGCACCCCTGGTTTCAATCCCTAGCCGAAAAAAAAAAAAAAAAAAAAAAAAGCATAGTATAAAGAATGGGAAGCTTTAAGCAGAAGAAACCTAGTTTCTTTCCAGTTATGAGAACCCAAGATCTCTACCTGTAGTGCTGCAAAGATCAGCATTTCTTCTTCTGTGCAGTCAATTTCTTCTAAGAGAATAGCCCACCTGGCTTGTTCATAGAGTTGGTTTATTCGGACAGCATCATACTAGAGAAATAAACAGATGTGTGTGTATATGTATATATAAAGGCTTTTTTTCATATTCTACAATACAAAAATTCTGGAATAACTGAATCCATTCTCTGTGAATCAGATGCACTAAACCTTAGTTCAGGTAACTGAGAAGAGCAGTTCTGTCTTTCCATTGCTCCTGCTCATTTTGGTCCTGAACTCAGTACTTGAATTTTCTCTAAATATTTTCCAGAGCTTCTTCAAAGAGCCAAACTAGCCTGTCTTAGATTCCATTATTTCCCATCTCTCTATTATTTTTATCTAGGTAGTAAAAACAGACAACAAAAATAGTTTGCACTGTAAGTACTGTAATGAAGAGGGAGCCCAAGCTGATCAGTGAACTCTGATGGGACTTTTTAATGAAACTTTAAGCTGATTCTCAGTTAAGCTGGAAGATATGATGTTCAAATATTGCCAATAAAATTTTGAAAAAGAAGGACAATATTGGGGGAGGCATTTGTCCTCCCAGATCTTAAAACAATTAATATAGTATAGCATCAGCATAGTGACAAAGTATATGCTAGGGTGATATCTGGAGATAGATCTATGTATCCATATTTAATGTAAAACAAAAGTGACATTGCATGCAAGTAGGGAAGGGAATAATTCAATACCATACATGTTGAGAATGCCCAGTTATTTGGAGAACAAAAACCCCAAACAAAAAATGTACTTTAGAGGCTGGGGTTCTGGCTCAGTGGCAGAGCACTTGCCTAGCATGTGTGAGGCACTGGGTTCCATCTTCAGCACCACATGTAAATAAATAAAATGAAGGTCCATTGACAACTAAAAAGAAAAAAATATTTTTTTAAAAATGGTGCTTTGCACCATCCAAAAATATAAATGATAGATGGATTAAAGATTAAATATACAAAATCACATGAGATACCTCTCACACCCACTACGATGGCTCTAATCTACAAGATAAGAACTAGCATTAGTGAGGATGTGGGGAAATTGAAACCCTTGTGCAGTAAAATGGTGCAGCCTCCATGGAAAACAGTTTGGTGGTATTTAGAGAGTTAAACACAGAATATGATTCAGCAATTCCACTCCTAGGGATCTACCCCAAAAGAGTGAAAGCAGGTACTCAAACAGATACTTGTATACCAATGTCAACAGCAGCAGCATCCACAATAGCCAAAAAAAGGAAGCAACCTGAGTGCCTATCAATGGATAAGCAGATATATGCACACATGGAATATTATTCAGCCTTAAAAAGTAACGAAATTCTGATACATGATACAACATGGATGAACCTTGAATTAAATCAGATGTAAAAGGACAAATATCGTACAATTTCACTTATAGGAATTATCCAGAAGAGGTAAATACATAGAGACAGGAAAAGAGCAAGAGGCAAGAAAGGAAGGAGAAACAGATGCACTCACACTGCACACTCAGAGGACCTGTCACCCAGCTTGCATTTTCTGCCATTTAGTGGCTGACTTGCAACCCCACAAATGGCTCATCTGGAGCACAGAAAGGGCAGAATTTCAAAGCGCTTATTTCCCCCCTTATTAGGTGTCCTAATACATTTCAGGGGGGAGGTGTGCACTGAGAGTGAGGGGGTGGCCAGCTAGAGTTTTCGTACAGATGACACTTTCTCTCAGAGACTTCTTAGCACTGCAGTCCTGTGTGCACCACCCCGTGGTTCTGTCATGCATGGGAACCTGCCCTTGACCCTGGCCTCTGACAGCTCCTTTCCTTCCTGTGGCATCAGGACTCCAGTGCTGAGAAACGTTTGCTCTTATCCCTTCGTTCTTGTGAATGCGGGGGGCAGGGGGCCACTGTGCTAGGCCATAAAGATCCCAGGAGACTCCTGTTAACTCAGGGACAGCTGACCTGCCCTCGAGAAACCAAGAGATGAAAACTAAGAAACCAGTATATGTGTGTCAGTCTAACCCTGCTGAGATCAAGAGACCCCACAAATCGGTCCTAATTTTGATAATGAAATGACTCAGTTTTACACTTCCATGCATTCACCGAGAGAGAGAGAGAGAGAGAGAGAGAGAGAGAGAGAGAGAAAAGAAAAGAGAAAAAAGTTTTATATTTTCTTGTGAGAAGTTTTCTTACTTTAGGATTTAAATCAAAGAAAGTGTAGTATTTAAATCGTAACTGCAGTTGCTCATCCTCTTGGATTCCTTGTTCCATAAGGGAGCGTGAAGAATCTAGCCAACTAGAAAACAACAGGATAGGTTTTAAAAGCCAGTCAATTTTACATATGTACTCATTATATTATGTTATATATTATACTACTATACACACACACACACACACACACACACACACATAAAACACCCTTGAAGAGAGGCAAAATAAGAACATTGCAAAAACGTAGTAAGCACATAATAATAGCTTATAACTACATTTTATCTTAGAGTGTTTTAAGGTGATAGATATGTATATATGACATACACTATATGCATTTATGTACATATGACACACACATGACATGTATATGCAAAGATGAGGTATATATGACATCTAAATATATGTCACCTTAAAACATTTTAAAATGCAGTTTTATATATACATATATATATATATATTTTTTTCTCATTCTCATTAACACTCTAAAGTAATCCACTGAAAGAACAAAGCAGTTTTTATTATCTATCTCAGTTTTATAGATGTGGAAACTCAGTCTTTTTTTCTTTTGCATCTGGAGCCACATCCCCAGCCCTGTATTTTGTATTTTATTTACAGACAGGGACAGGGTCTCACTGAGTTGCTCAGTGCCTTGCTTTTTTTTTTTTTTTTTTTTTTTTTTTGCTGAGGCTAGCTTTGAACTCGTGATACTCCTGCCTCAGCCTCCTGAGCCACTGGGATTACAGGCTTATATCACGGCACCTGGCTGGAAACTGAGTCTTGGTGATGTTAGGCGATCTGTTCAAAGTCGCAGTCATGTGGTGGAGCCAGCATGGTAGTCTGTCCCAACTGCCTTGGTACCAGGTAGTTCACTCCAAAGCTAGGCCTATCTTACTGTCTAGTGCTTTCTACAATGAGGGAAATATTCATATTTGTGCTGTCCAGTGTATTCACCTTTAGCCATCTGTGGCTGCTGAACATTAAATGAGGTTAATGCCTCATTTTAATTAATTTATCCCAAATTTAGATTTAAATATTTCTATATGGCTTGTGCTTCTTGTACTGATGGTGTCATTTTCAAGTTGAAAAATAAAAGCTGGGTAATGGTGACAGGTAGAGGGATGGAGACTAAAAGTTGGTAACAAAATGCTGTGGGGATGAGCATCACCGAATACCACTGAACAGAAGTGGCCTGAACTCCCATTCTATTACTCCTTGTGGAATAGCAAGAATAATCAAGATATAATCTCCTTTCTAAAGGAAATGACAATCTTTGGCCGGGGTGGGGGGTGGGGGGCCGTGATCAAGACTTATAATAAAGGAAGAAGGTGACAGTGGAGTAAGGTATGTCAGGGAAGTGACTGATCAACCTGGATTAGTGATACTCAGGAAGAGGCCTGTGGTTGAGCCTTCAGAGACTGAGAAGTAGAGACAGGAGGTGGAGCAGTGACAGTAACAGTACCCCCATGAAGCACATTGAGGGACAGGAGGTCACAGTAGGATACAGAGACACCCATGGGAGTCAGGTCTTACGGAGAGTGACTGCTATTAACAAGGTTGACTTTGTTTGGTGGGCAATGGAAAATAAAAGAAATGGTGGTTTGAGAAACCGTGTGGGTGTATTTTCTGAGAACATTTCAAACAGAGGCCCAGGACTTGCCCTTAGAAGGCCTACAGGGACAACGTGAGCCTTGGATCTCCCCAACTGGTCATGAAAACCAACATACTCATAAACTACTCACAAACATTCCATAAAGCATACTTGGCACACCTGGAGCAGAAGAGAATTATATTTACATATATCAATCCATTGAGTTACCCAAACACACAGATTTTATCACAGTTGAAAGGTACTGGAATGACCACAGGCTGCATTTATGCCTTTTTTGCTGCTTAAGTCAACTACTAAAGCACAGTTCCCAGGACTATTAACTTAAAACTTAAACACTCCCTGATCTCTGGGACAACTCTCTCACTAAGAGAGAAGCAAAATAGAAGTCACGTCCTTACCCTGCGTTAAGCTTGGCTTTATCAATCAGAGACCGAGGCTGGTACATATCAGCAAGTGCCTCTGGTGACGGGGGTGGCTGGCTGAATGCGAGGATGTTGCAGTTTTGTTCTGTTAAAGGGCTGTCAGTGAACCAAGTTATGGTGGAGGATGCCGGAGTTCCATTGACGGGGTCATAGGTAGGAGTCATGGTCTTACTGTATAAGCCAGGACTTCCTGCAGAGCAAGAGGTAGATGGATCTCATGAGAGATTCAGGTGGGAATTTTTAGAAAAAAGAAGTACTCCCATTCCTTACACTAAAATGAAATTTGACTTTCAATGTTTATATCATTTAGAATGATCAGAGGAGTTATGATGGTTAGGAGATCAGTTATATACAGACAAAGACCTTGTCTACTGTATATTCAGTTTCTGGGAACTCAAAGATATAAAAGTTTCCTCAAATAAAAAATGTTGGGGACCATTTTTCTAACTCAAAGCTCTCTTATTTCAACAGAAGCCTTGATGCTATTAGAGAACTGGGGACCTCACAGAGCGCAGGTACAAAATATGTTTCAGGTACTCCTGAATCACATAGCAGTGCTTGGCCAATTTTAAGAATACAGCAAGTTAATTATCTGGCTCAAGTTTGCAGAAGGTACACAGACCTCTTTTATTCTTTGCATTGCAATATACTGCACAAGAAAGCCCTCAATATTGCAAGCATGCTAGAAACTTGATTATTTTGATATAAAAAGAAAATTATGATACCTCTCCAGAATTTTTACCTGGAGAAATTTCCCCTCATTCCCAATGAGAACTTGAATTCAGGAAAGAATTGCACTAAAATAGAATCAGGAAGAGAAAAGTATATTTGAGTAATCCAAAGTATCTCCTTTTTAAGTATTCTTTTATCCCCGTATCCCCGGTTTATGGACATCTGTACCAAAATTTCCATTCTCAGAAACACAAGATTTGCAATTACAACAATGAATTATTAAGCTTATCTGCTGAAAAAAAAAGGTCTGAAATAAAATTTTGTTATTTCCAAACTTAACTAGGTAGCTCTTCCTCATCTCATTGATCCTAAAATTTTATTCCTCCTTTGAGGGGAAGAGAAAGGCCTATTTTCCCTCTTTGGTTTTCTTCTACATTCACAAATTAAAACAAATCTTACTTACCTGGTGACCCTGTTGGAGAACTCTCCAGGTTGAGAATATCTTCAATTATGGGCTCCTTATTATTTTTATCTTTCTTTTTCTTTTTCTTAAAAAAGTCACCAGAAGGCTTTAACAAGGAAAGTTCTTCTGATCTTCTAATATCTAAAATAAAATAATAAATAATAATTTTTTTTAAAAGAAGAAAAATAAATAGGATAAAGAGCATTTCGAGACTCAGAGCCATTTTCTGCATTTAACACCATATCTCCAGAAATCCCCGGGAAGTAAACAGAACTAAATTGAATCACTTTTAAAGACATAAAAGGGGAATAGTTGTCTTTAGACTCTCTAAACTGTGTGTGTCTGTGGGTAAATAGTGGAGGAAGATTCAGTCTAATATAATTTCTAGTTTGCTTTTTAATTTATTATGAAAATACTTCAAATACATTCAAAGCAAAGGAAATAGCATAATATCCTCCTTCCTACACTTCACTGCCAGCCTCAACCACTACTAACGTTGTACCATTGTTGTGATTTCCATTTGCCACCAACTTTTCCCTGCCTCCCTCCGTTTTGTTTTTGTCTTAAAAAAAAAAAATCAAGGGCCCATCTCCTTTTTTCTTTGTGGACCCCAAACCCCTAAAACCTTCATCTCATACACTGTCCAGCAGGTCTTTTCACACCCTGCCACCTCTTCTGGGCGCTTGCCATTTCACTGCTTCCAGAGCCTTTGTGTCTCTCTCTGCCTGAGGGCTTGCTCTGGAGGCCAGCAGGGCACGCAGTGCTCTCCAAAATCATCCCTCAGTGGTGCACAAGCACATTGTCCCTAGGGTGGTAAGCCCTGAGGCTGCGGCTGAACTGTCTCTCAGAGGTCCCCAGTGGCCCACAGCTGAGGTTTGATAGTTTGATATTTCCAATCTCACTTCCCCACCCACACCTGGTGTTTACTGATAACATCTGCTAAGAAACTGTTTATACTTGACTTCTCTCCTCGGGTCTGCTTCCATAGATCCCAGACTAAGATAAGTCCCCTTCCCTGCCATTCACCCAATATGTGCATTATTGCTGATCAGAATTGCCAATAACCATTACCACACTGGTTCTTGGCTATAACACCAAGAACAAGCCAAGGGATGTGATGACCGAGGGTCCCTGGGCAGCATTCCTGGGTGTCCGTGCACTGGCTCCTGTTAGATTCTCTCAATCAATCAGTTCACACACTGCTTAGTACCAAAGTGGAGCCCAGCAGTGCAGCTTGATTCTCTCCCCAGTAGCCCGGGATGTCTGACTGACAGGTTGCAAAGCACACCTGCGGCCACTCAGAATGCATGATTTATGCACAACCCTAGAGATGAACCAAAAAGCCTGGCTAAAGATGTAAGCATTAAACAAAAATCAATAGCAGCACCTCTATCTCCAAGTCCGGGATCTGTGTCCTCCCCCCCACAGTCCCCCACTGACAAACACAGTGTGGGGGGGACCTTATACAACCTAAATGGATTTAGCTTCAGTTGATCAGATATAAAAAGACAATGATTGGAAATGTCAACTTCCTTCCTTGCCTCCTGGGTTTTACGGTACTGGGGCACTAAAACACTGAGCTACATCCCCATCCCTCTTTAAGATAGGGTCTTGCTAAATTGCTGAGGCTGGCTTCGAACTCAAGATCCTCCTGCCTCAGCCTTAGTGTCACAGGGATTACAGGTGTGTGCCACTGTACCTGGCTCAGGAAGTGCTTTCTGCCCTCATGCTATTTCATGCTGTACTGGCCCTCCCTGTGCAGCACTGGCATTCCCAATCCTACTGATCCTTTCCCTCTTTTCTCTATATTGTCTACCCTTTTAAAGCATCCTCTATTATTTTCTTATTACATTTATTGGCTATTATTTGCCTCTGCCTGCTAGGATGCAAGCACCAAGAGGGCAGGAAACCTAGAATCTTTATCACTAATGTCTCCCCCGCTCTCAACAGGCTGCCTGTCACATAGTAAGTGCTCAGTAAACATTTGTTGAATGATGCGGTTCACAGTTGAATGGAGGAGACAGATTCCTCAAGGATATATTATGTATTGGGTGTTCAAGAACTGACTTTTGGTCTTAGTATCAAACTTCTTTGATATGAACACTATCAAAAATAAACACTTCAAAAAATATAAAAGGAGAGCACCTTCATAGACCCAGTTTTCCTCCTTTTATGAAATCTCAAAAAGAAGAAATGGGTTAAATAGTGTTGTCTCTATGAGTGTTTTACTTTGGGACACAGATCCATAAGGAATTAGGCTTCCATTCACAATTAGTGTACTTTTCTGCTTAAAATAAATCTCACTGGTAATTTAAAATAAATCTCACTGACTCACAGCTATTTGCTGGAGTCAGGTGTTAGTGAAGTAATGGAGACAGCAGCAGCAGCAGAAGAAGAAGTGAAGATACGTCAGCTCTTTCAGTGATGAAGGGTTTAACAGAAACTCTTTCTGGGGGGGGGGTTGTCTTTAATAATGATTTGAGCGTAGCTTGAAGAAATGAATTTGCAGAGCAATCTTCGTGGTTTGTCTCTTCTATCTATGAAGGTCTTTTTTAGTTTTTGCTCCCTAGATTTAACTGATTTATTTATTTATCTTTTTCCCCTATTTTTTATTGGCACATTCTTGTTGTACATAATGGTGGGGTTTATTGTTACATATTTTCACATGCAAATGAGATGCAAATACATGCAAACATAACAACATAATTGGACCAATATCACTCCCCAGTATTCCCCCTTTTTGTTCTCTCCTCCCTGCCCTGCCCTGGTCCCTTACCTCTACTCTATTGATTGCCCTTTGAACTGCATGAGAGTCTCTCAACTCTTCTTTTCCCTTTTACTTTACAAATGTCTTTAAAAAATTTTTTTTTAAGTTGTAGATGCACACAATACCTTATTTTATTTATTTATTTTTATGTGATGCTAAGGATTGAACCCAGTGCCTCAACACATGCCAGGTGAGCACTCTACCACTGAGCCACAACCCCAACCCTACAAATGTCTTTTTGAAACAGTTTTAAGCTGTATGGAAATGAATCTGATGTGGGTCAAGGATGTTCTATTTAGTTTAACTGCACTGTGATGGCTGCAGTACCTGGACTTTGCAGTGTACTTCCCAATAAAGTGGGTGCTTTCTAATCAGCCATTCGGGGTATGCAGAAAGCAGCACACACAAGCGTCTAAAGGGCACAGGGGCCCCTGGGTACTCACTCAGGCTTTTGCAGATGTCACTGACAGCCTTAAACACCACAGCCGAGAAGCTGACTCGCAACCTCACCGTCTTCATGTTAGGCAGCCGAAGGCGCAGCATTTTGTGCTGAGGGGTGAAGAGAAGCTTGGCATCTGCCTGAACCCCACATTTGTCCAGGGTCCAGTGGGTTTTCAGAAGCCAGCAATGTTTCTGTTCCCACCAAAGAGCAAAATCTGACCAGTCTTGAGCTATGTCTACAAAGATGGAAGACACAATTAGGCAAAATGAGGAGAAGCAGAAGGAGCTCTGGAGGGTTCAGACTGCCCCGGAATCCATTTCACTGTGTATAAAACCTGGAATAAACAACCCTCTTTGGCTCCCCATCTCTTTTTATAGCTCAAGGCTCAACAATCCTTGGCTGCTCTACAGTCACCAAGGCCTGGCAGGGAGAAAACAATGTATGAACCCTCCCATCATTTACATTTAAGTAGCAAGAGGAGCAGAAGCATGACATTTTCGTTTTTGACGAATGCTGATGCTGAAGTTATTTTTCCTAAAATCCCTCTGTGCCACTGTCCTTTCTGGAAGGCCAAAAGCATGTGGCTTTGTTTAATGCATCTTATTTCTCTCACAGAAATAGATTCTTATTCTGGGTGCAGCAGCGCATGCCTATAATCCCAGCCGCTCGTTAGGCTGAGCAGGAGGATTGCTAGTTCAAAGCCCAGTCTCAGCAATATAGTGAGGCCCTAAGCAAGTTACTGAAACCCTGCTTCAAAAATTAAAAAAAAATAGAAACAAAAGGGCTGGGGATGTGGCTCAGAGGTTAAGCACCCCTGGGTTCAATTTGTGGTACCAAAAAAAAAAAAAAGGAAATGAATCCTTACACTCCAGATCACAAGGTATCAACAGTCCCCAAAGTCCACATAGAAGTGCAGTAAAGCTGACGTTTCCCTCTCTCAATAATGGCCCAGTCTTCTAGTACCACCATAGTCCCATTTTCAAAACATCTACACCAAAATCAGAGTTGCATGTTTTCTCCCTCTCAACATTAGCACTGACATTGAATCTTTCCTCTCCTTCACCACTGGCTTAAAGGTGAATCCCTTCATCAACGTTGTAGTCAATATTCAACCATTCTTTTGGCTAAATACAGGGATGCTAGTGTTTTTGTATGGATATGAAGTGTCTCCACAGATTTTATGCTGAAGGCTTGGACCCCACTGTAGCAGTGTTTAGAGGTGGGGATTTGGGCAAATGATTGGATCCTGGGAACTCTGATCTCATCAGTGGATTAATCTATTGAAGGTTTCACAGCTGATTCTAGGTTAAGAACGTGGGTCACTGGGGCCAGGTCTGGGAAGGACATAACTAGTCCTTATCCACTTCCTTGAGCAAGTGTTTTTTCCATTCTTTCTCTTTCTCTCTCCCTGCCTCCCTCTCTCTTTCCCTGAGACCTGAGGCAGATTCATACAATGAAATATTATATAGCAGGAAAATAAATGAAACAATATGAGTGACTATCTCAGACGTAATGTTGGGTGAAAGAAGATGTGTAAGAGTATATCCTGTATAATTACATTTATATGAAGTTCAAAAACAAGCAAAATTGTTCCTGTGATGTTAGAGGCCAGGTTAGTAGTTACCCTTAGTGGACTAACAATTAGGAGAAATCAGATTTGGGGCATGGGTCGGAGAACAGATTAGGAAACAGGTCATGGTCTATGTAATCTGGGTGATTAGTTACATGACTGAAAATTCATTGAATCATACCCTTATGATAAATGTACTTTTCACATTTCAGTCAATTTCCTTAAAAAGTCTTTATCTCATTAGCATAAATAGGGAAGCTATTACCAAAGTCTTTTCATAAACAAAGGAAATAGAATGTCATCAAATTTTAGGCCTAATAATGTTGACATGGTGACTTCCTGATGTGAAGACTCTGACCCAAGAGACTTTACTTTCTCTGTTTGAACAAGTACAGTAGCAGATGATAGATACATGTTTTTATAGTTTGGGTCTGAAATGTCCCCCCAAAGCTCACATGTTGAAGGCCTGTCCCCAGCTGGTGACAGTACTGGGAGGTGGTGGAAAATTTAGAAGGTGGTCTAGTTGTAGGAAGCAGATCATTGGGGGTGTGCCTTTGAAGGGTTTATTTTTCCTGCTTGTTCTCTCCCTACCCCCAAACTTCCTAGCCACCACGAGGTAACCTCTACCACATGCTCCTGCCATAATGTTTGGACTTACCCAGACCCAAAGTAATGGAGCCAACTGGCTGTGGACTAAAACATCTGAAATCACAAGCCAAAATAAACCTTGCCTTTTTAAAGTTGATTTCCTCAGGTATTTTGTCACAGTGACAGAAGGCTGATTAACACAGTGTTAAAAGACACATCTGCACCAAATGCACTTTATCATTGAACAATCAAGTATTAACAGGGAACTGACACAGTGGTTTAATGCCATGCCACCTAAAATCATCTTAGACATCACCGGTGGCAAGGACTTTGTCCATGTGGAAGTACAGCACTCTACCTATTTGGGAACATGAGTTTGTCACCAAAGACTCAAGTTTTCACAAAGGTGATAAATTTTGTTTGAGGTTCTTGCAGGACCCATTATTTCTCTCTGTCCTGGAAGAGATTGGGGAACAAGGAAGAGGGCTGTGCTCTACAGGCAACTGTGAGATGAATGACCAGAAGAAATTACATGATCTGGCAACCTAGACCAACTATGCAGCAGTGATGTAGCAGAGAGCATTTCTACTACACAGAAACCATCGAGAAAGAGGAACTTACTGATCTTTTCTACCAACTTGAGCATCACACCCCCGACATGCAGGTCTCCGGACACTCTCAGTGTGATGTCTCTTGGCTCCTTTTCATTTGGATTGTGAACTTGGACCATGAGCTCCCAGGATGCAGATGCAAAGTCACTGGATGAGATCATAGTGGCACAGGCAGGTGTCTGTCGAATAAAAATGAGGACATAGATCAGAACAGGTGAGAAGGGAACTGGAAAGGGCTAGTAGATCCTGCAGAACAAAACACTTTTTTGTTTCTGTATTTGATTTTTGCCTGGTCTTCAAAAGATTCCACAGCGTTCCTGGTGCCCAGACATTAAATTCAGCATCTTAATAGTAGAGACAAAATGTCTTATAAAAATGGACCTAAATCATCTAAATTTCTGTATTTTATCTTTCTGTCTACATCCACACTTCCAGGACCCCTTGGCTATGTTTTGTTGTTTGCCCATCCAATACATCAATTTTTACTTTCCTTCTCTATTGAATTTTCTCGGCTTTCTCTGAACTATTCCAACAAAAGTCAATTCTCCATGGTATATATATATATTTTTTTTAAAAAATCAACATTATTGAGGTATGATTCACCTAAAACAAAACACGCAGATTTTAAATGACATACAGTTTGATGTATTTTGTTGCATGCAGATTGTACTTCAACAAAGTTGACTTTAAAAAAAGATTCCATTAAAACTTTTTTCTATCTTTAATAAATTTGTATTACCACATTCCTCCCCCAAATATCTGTATCTTCTGGCATGAAAGCTCAAAAAAAAAAAAAAAATAAAAACACAACAAAATTATTTCTCTGTCAGTCATTATTCTACTTTAAACACATATAAGTAAAGATATAGGCCATTAATAATCAGTGCTATGTATTTGATTTACTTAAGTTACTGTATTAGATCATATAGAAGTTGATATGTAAATGCACTTTTGGCAAAATAATTTTAAAACAGGGTGAGACACATAAAAAGCCTACTCTTCAAAGTGCAGATGGGGGTGGGAACTTCAAACCTCTTAGCTCAAAGGAAGAAACTAAGCAGTATCAACACTAAAATGTATCAGGGGTTATAGGAACATTCGAATCCAAAACTGGCAAGACTAAAAGTTGAGATGTCAGTGTCTTTTAAATAGTAAGAAATGATACTACAAATCCTGGTTGTTTTAAGATCATTTAAATCATTATGAGAAATCCATGTTTTCATAAGGCCTACACTGAGAAAAATCAATGCACTCATATTTCCACATCAGGGTTTCTTTTCTAACTGTAAGCACACAGATCCCTTGGGGATCTTATTAAAATGCAGATTCCATTCAGCTGATCTGGAGTAGGGCCCTGGGCCCCTGCATTTCTAACAGCTCCAGTGATGCTTTGTAAGGATTCTGGCTGTGGAAATGTACAAGGCAGTGTTCCTCTGGTGCGCAGACTCCCAGAAGGTTATAGGCACTCTGTTTTCCACACTTGGAATGTTTCTCCCTGGAACTAGTAAGATGACCAATACATGCTCAGTGCCTAGCTGCTATGGTAATGTCCTTCTGAGGAGGCTCTGTGCTACACATACAGTCTTATCAGCTTTGACCCTGTTTTTTTTTTTTTTTTTTTATTATTAATTTTTTTTTTAGTTGTAGAGGGACACAATACATTTATTTTATTTATTTATTTTTATATGGTGCTGAGGACTGAACTCAGTGCCTCACACGTGCTAGGCAAGCGCTCTACCCCTGAGCTATAACCTAGCCCCAGGAACACTGTTTTATAACAAATCAAATTGAACCCATCCACGTCATACTACTCTTGAGTTTATATGAAACTCCACATTTGTTAGCACCAGGACAATCTAGTTAAATAGAATGGCTGGCTCTGCAAACCTGAACAGGCTTAGAACAGACTTAGTATGTCTGAATCAATCAAGAGTTCAGAGTATTTCCTAATGTTTTATAACCAGAGGATTCAAAGGCGGCAATACATAGATACATACACCTCTCATTGCAGAGGTTCACAGGGCAACCTCTTGCATAAGCAATGCCCTGAAGAGATTATATGAGGCCTCACTGTTGGCTTCTGTCATCATTAGTTTGCAGTATTATTTTCTGGGTAATGCATTGTGCATTAACTATTGTCCTTGAGTTACCTCCTTCACGCTCTGGGCAATTCCCATTTCTAAATGAGAAAACTCAGGCTCAAAGAAGTTAGGCTACTTGTCTGAAGTAACACAGGTTAGATAGTGGAGCCCAGACATTAATCCACATCTTTCTTACTCCTACTTGCCTACCACACTGGGAAATGTCCTGGGTAATTAATAGGAAAGATAATGTTTAAAACCACAGAGTGAAACTTTTCACAGCCTTTGCATTTCTATCAACACAAATCTTTACCCAGTGGAGAGACAATAAAGACAGCCCCTTCATAGGTGAACTCACAACTTGGCATTGAAATGCTTGGCTGCAAGAGCCTTATAATTTCTAAATTGCTATGCTCTGAGCTTTCATTTTAAAATGTTTTGTACATAAAGAAAATGACCTTTCTTTTAAGGTGACTCCTTGCTGCTGTTCCATGGACAATCAGACACCAGGTCTTTTCCTGACCCTTGTTGATTAAAACACCCCTTGTATAGGCAATAGATGGTGATTTCCTTACAACGAAGTCCTACCTGGTTCTAACCTGTTTTCCCCACATTCCTTTCCTATCGTTCTGAGCCTTGTGTTTTTGAATGAACTTCTCATCTGCAGCAAGCTGTTACTTGTTGAGAACAGCAAACTTTAGCTGGGGAAAACATATCTTAGGAGACCCAAACAAGAAACAAAACGCAACGGGAGACGTGCCTTTCCTGGTGAAGTTCAGCGGCCCTTCACAGAAAATGCAAGAGAGAAATCGAGGAAAAAGGGTAGGTAGTGGGAGATAAGCCCCACGCTTTCCCTGGAGGATCAGGTGGTGCTCAGTGTCTGAAGGCCATTTGCTGTGTTTGTCGCTAGCACTGCGGGGTCCTGGGGTGGGTGCCTGGTGGGCCAGAAACCTGCCTCTTACCCATTAATGCTGCAGTACCTGGGACTGGACATAAAGTTTTTGCGCAGCCAGAAGCACAGGCCAAAGAAAGTGGTCGCACCCCAACGACATTATTTTCAATCCAACAGCCGTTTAACTGAAGAGGGCTGCACCAGTGAAGGGGACAGCGGTCTCAGGACTCAGCAGCACGCATCAAAGCCTCCAGAACCCCTGTGCCCAGCTCTAAGCCCTGAGCACCCACCTTCTTTTCCGGCCTGTTGCGTCCAGTCTTGCAGATCGACACGTGAAAAGGTGCACCCCTAGAGACCCGGGCAGATACCACCCCAGGCGGGGCCGGGGGCGGCGCTGGCGAGGTGGAACTTGCGGGGACAAGCAGTCGCAGCGGCAGTTCGGCTCGGTTATGGCAGGCAGGGGCAGGTGGCTTGGTGCGCTGGCGAAGCTGCTCCGGGACCTCCCGCAGAGGCTCGGCGTCTGCAGGCAGCCCAGCACCGCGCACCAGGTGCACCTTCTTGGTACGCGGCCCCCAGCTACACCGCCAAGGCCAGCGCAGCGGGGCAGGCGAGAGCACGCCCAGTCCCGGGCTTGCCTCGTCTTGCGGAGAGCAGGCACAGTCTACGGATTTTTTTTTTTTTTTTTTTTTTTTTTAAGAGCAAAAGGTGGTAAAAGGGGTGCTTTGGAGCAAGACGGCTGGAGGACCTGGGACACGTGCTCACCCTGCGCCCTCTCCTGCTGCCTCTTATCCCTCTTTTCTTAGACTACCTTGGATTTTCCCAGCACCCCCACCCCCCCACACCCCACCCCGGGATCGGCCCATGTGCTTGAAGTTTTGCACTTTTTCTTTCCCTCAAGGTACACCAACTGCCCCCACCCCCTGGGTGTGCGCAGCCCTGGAAAATCCCCGTTTCCTTGTAAAGAGCCCTGGAGCGCTTGTGATCAGCGACGTGGGAAAAACAAAACGATTCATCTCTGAGTAAGGCGTGATGCAAATCCTCAAGAAGATTTGATACCTAAGGATGGAAGACCCCCTGGTGACCCAAGGCCTATACTGGTGAGGCAGTCTGGACCGCGCCTGGATAGCTCATCTCAGGATCATCACTCAGTCCAGACTGTTAGCTTCCTGTCGAATTTCATTGGTTTCATTCCCTACAAATTGGTCTATCCAGTATAATATTCCCTTTGCTATTCAGATCATTTAAAATATTTTTTTTCAAGGTCTTCTGTTTTGAGATTATCATTTTGTATGACTTTATTTTTCTTTACACTAAGTGGGGATTGGTGGCTCTTAGTATTAAAGTATTGCTTTCTATTTCTTTATTCAAATCTCTCCATCTTACCTTTTTATTTTTTGGAAGTATGATGTGAGTTGCAAGTGTATCAACTCTTTTGCAATACTACTTTTATCTTTATGCAATACTACTTTTCCTCTTTTCAAAAAAATTTTTAAATTTAAGATATTTTATCTCATATAACTTTTTGTTTTAAAATGTGTTGCATACCATAATTTTTCTATCCCAGCTTTCTTTTGCCGACTTTCATATGTAACATTCTTATATCATTATGCTTTCAGTCTGTGTCCTTAGATTTAGTAGCCTGTAAATTACATAGTTGTATTTTTTTTTAGATTTAATTCTGTTATTCAAGCTTTTCGTTTTGATTGGTGTTATGTAATAATGCATTTATAATTAAATGAATTTCTAAAAGTGGGAAAAAAAGAATCTTCTGTGTTCATGGTGCAAATAATGAAATAGTATCTATTATTAGTTACCCATACACTGATAAACTGACTTGGAAATTAACACTGTCAAAAAGGAAAATCTTGTCCTATTTGGGAGCCTAAGGTAGGAGGATCACAAGTTCAAGGTTAGTTTCAGCAAACTGGAAAGACCCATGTTACAAAATAAAACATAAAAAGGGCTGGGAATGTAGTTCAGGGGTGGAGAACCCCTGAGTTCAATTTCTAGTACTGCCAAAAAAAAAAAAAAAAAAAAAAAGAGAAAGAAAAGGCATGCCTACATTATCATGCCAGACACGAGTAGAGAAATATAGTCATAGTTCATAGTCTTTGAATACAAAAGGGATATAAATAAGTAGAAGGTCTTTGAAAGTCTCAGCTGCTTCAACTTGTTAAACCGAGTAGCTTTCTTCCACTAG